TTTAATTTGTAGGGGAGGGTAAAACCAAAATAATTCAATTTACAATAAATTCAATTTGTTCGGAAATTGGTAGCACGCAATAACACAATAAAATAAATCCTTGTCGAAGCAATTCCTATAAAAAAATATAAAGAATTGTTGTAATTTTTTATGAACACACTGTATTGAAACAAAAGTTGTATACATGCGCTATTCTTTACGTACGTTATTCTTCAAATTTTAATATGACTAAATTTATTTGTATTTATATAATTTATGAAGTTTAGCGCACTTTGTAGAAAAATTAAGTTAAAATCAAATTTATATAACTTCTCTCTCTCTCTCTCTCTCTCTCTCTCCCTATGTGCTTCTATGGATAAAAATACTATTCAACAATTTCAAAGCGTTCCTAACAAATTAAGTTCGGTACATTAAGATATAATTAATTTAATACTTCGTATACAAATTAGTGAGAAAACTCACTAATTAGCTTTGACGTGGGCATTAATGAGAAAATAAAGTTATAATTTATTAAATTTAAATCATATACAAACACTATTAAAATTTTTAATGTCGATTGTTTAAAGTTTTTAAAGTAATCCGAGCGATTTATTACATTATAAAATTCTGTGAACTTAGTTTTTTATATGTATAAATAAGATAAACACAATCAAGAATATTTTAATTAAAATCACATCGTAGATGAACTTACAGTACGTATAGTTGCTTTAGGATTATTGATCGCCGCTAATGTATCGAATACTTAGAAAGCACAGCACTATAGCCATGTTAGTGTACGGGTAACCTTGCTCCATTGAAATAACGGGTCTTGAACACGACGATTTAATTCATAACGACCACTTAATGCACTCTGCGTAATACCCTAAGCTATAAGTATGACTTAACTTCCACACTTCGTGTACCCAACAAGCATCGATAATCCGAATCGAAATCCATATACGTCAGATATGTATATATTAATATTCCGATAGAGACATTGGTATTCCAATTAACGAATAGCGTAAGTTCCGAATTCAAATACTCGTAATAATTCGAATTCGTGTATGTACATCAACTAGATAATTTTGTAACCGATTTGCATAATTCTTCGAACATTTTAATTGTGCATTTTTGGCCATTTTTTTATGCCAAGCTGCGACTTCCCGCTTCGTATCGCTGCAACATAGAAAGGTTTGGTACGCGGTAAAAAAAAAAGTGATTCATTTATGGCTACATGTACGGCTAACCCCGTGGGATTGGAATTACAAGTCTTGGACGCGACCGTTTAAATTATGACCGGCACTTAATGCACTCCGTGTGTAACTATAAGCCAGAGCAACTCGACAACTTCATAGAGGCAGCGTGCCAGGAACTCGTAATTGTTTTGAATTAACGATACTTTAGGCTGCGCCCAACTGCGAACCATTATGCGGTTCGTCCATAACGATTGCACGGTCCGATTGTAGAACTGGTATATGTACATATACAGCTGCATCCTCTGTTTTAAAAAAAGTAATTTTAAAAAATCACTATTTTTACATCCGTCGTGATTTCGAGGTATTAGGATCTCATTAGCGGCGCTCGCGCATTTCGGTCTGTTTAATTACGCACAGTCGCTTTTATTACTTTAAAAATAATTACGCAACGGGAGCTGGAAAGTGGCGTTTCGTGTACTAGAAAAATGCAAATTCGCCGTACGTCCATTAACTGGCGAAATAAATATTTCGGCGGATTTTTTCCGTTAAGGAAGAAATGGTTGACCTGCTTTTTGAGGCCATGACACACAGTGTCGTTAAATCTAGTTTAATCAATGGACGTGCTATGTTATGTACATAGCATATAGTGCGCGAGCATATACATCGTGCATACAAACGATACGGTAACAAGATTGACGTTTACCGATTCCCTTTTTAGAGTGTCTTCAAAATGCATATTTAGTAATGGCGCGGGGGGAGGGGGGGGGGCCCCGATTCGATTGACTTTAAATTTAAAAATCTGTTAAATTAAATTCATATTTAAATGGTTTTGTCGTCAATCTACTTTTACAGCTTAATTCAATGAAGTTCTCCCATTTTCAACTGCTTGTATATCAACATTGACGCTCCTGTCGAAAACGAACGTTATTCTTTTAGTTTAACATGTAAAATCTGTAGCCAGAGTAAATTGGGTAGGGCGCTGTACAAACGCTTGAATATAACACAAAGGTTCACGTTTCAAGCTAAATATCACTGAGTTAACGAGCCTTTTTTGATGACTCTTCTGTTTTCTTTCTTCAATAAGGTTACTATTTTGTTATTAATAAAACAAATGTTATTTAAAAAATGCCGCACTGGAAAAAGCGTATGGTTGCATTAATTTTGGAATTTTGGTTGAAAATGTACAAATCAGTTTTTGTTGAATCTATTAAAATTCCAGTTGAGATATATATAATCAGAAATCTGGTTGATGTGAATCAGAAGCTACTGATTCGTTTATTTCCAGAAATTGTTCTCAATGCATTATTCATATTACATTCATCAGTGGTACATTTATTCGTTTAATATATCTGGATGGATGTATCCGATTTATTGCAAATCTGTGGTTTTGCGCTCCAAGTTTTGTGACGATTGATTAAAAGGGGCTTATTTTCGCATTTTCGATTATACAGTTTAAATTCCATCCCTCACGACCACCTTGGACGACCAATGGAAAATATTTATGAATATTTTAGGCACATTTACGACACGTTTACTGATGTATGTTACAAACGTGCTAGGCTAGGATGGCGATAGGACTGGGACGGCGATATTAATATTGATAGAGTTTATCTTTATTTAATGAGAGGTGAAAATTAAACGAAATAATTAATTAGCGTGAAATCAATATGTCGTGGCGGCAGTACGTGAAAATCATTTCGTTGACAAATTTTAGCTGCGCGTGCCCGAAGGCGCGATGGCGCGTTTGCGCAACGACAAACATTTTTCTTTCCCGATATTCGCGAGAATGCCGAAAGTTTATATTAAGGCAAATGCATGCGCGGCCGCGGCGAGTGATGCTTATGACGCACCGGTGAATTATCGGCGGGCATCGGGTAATGCTCGTGACGGGGAACATATTAAAAGTCTGATATATTATGCCGTTGCCGAGACATTTTATCCAAACGCCATTTTACGTATCTGTAACTAGACACTTTGTTGAATGTCGGAAAATTACAGATCTTTTATAATTATCATCCTTTTTCCAGGCGCGCGCGCTCTTTAAATCGCGAGAGAAAAAGACCGACGCGTTCTCCAAACGTTCCTAAACGCTACATATCTCTGACAAGAATCGAGAATAAATTAAATTTATGACACATAAAAGACAGAAACGCTTGTAATTATATGACTAATGTACTACGGGAGAGGAGTGATAAAAATTACAAAGAACAAGAAGATATTTTAACATTTCATCTTTTCCTGCATAATTTAAAGAAGAAATTTCTTACCGCCCCATAGACAGTACAGAATATTTATGATAAATATTTATTACTATTCATTTTTTTAAATGTTATATAAATATTTTTTACATATTTTATATAAAGTTTTATTAAAATATTATATAATATATAAAATATTTTATATATATATTATATATAAAATATTTAATCTATATTAAAATACGGATTAAATGTTTTCTATAATGTCTATGATAAATATAAATAAAATAATTATTCAAAGTGCATAAAAGCCAACGCAAAATATTAGTGCAATGTTTATTTATTCTTCATATAACGATAATATAACAATAAATGTTTCGATCTTAAATCATCTTTAGTATCAGAAAAATTATAAAGTATCTATCTTTAGTCTTACATTATTTAATACCACATAAATTTTATATGTACTTGTATGATGTTCTTATAGACTCACTCAATCCTTCATTTCGTCCTATAAAATTACACCTATCTTGTGTTATCAATCCAGATTTTTCCGTTTTGATGAAAACGATCGAATTTGACATCTTAATGTCTTGCACAAGTTCCAATTTCTATGAGGACAATAAGATCGTCAATTTCTTTACAATAATTCTTGTAATGTTAAGACTAGTCCTTGGATTAGTCATGCGTAATAAATTTATATGGCGTTAAATAAAGTAAGACTGAAGATAGATACTTAATAATTTTTGTTCTGATACTGAAGATGACCTAAGGTCGGAACATTTATCGTTATATTATCGTTATATATGAAAAATAAATAGACTACTGCACTAATATCTTGCGTTTATCATTCTTGAATAATTTTTTTTATTTGGTCGGAAAGCCGCTTTTATATAGAATTTAATATAAATAAATATTTCATGATATTTGTAATAAACGCTTATGATCTATGCAATCTAAGACCACAAAAATTATTTACAGATTATTTAAAATATATAGAGCGATGAAATAAGTATTTTTGTACGCCCTGCATCTTCAGCGTGAGATAATTTTATTATTGGGTGATTTACCTAATCTCTTAACAGACAAATATTTTGAAAAATATTCTCGAAACCATTACACTTTTGTCTAAAATGTTTTCCGTATTTTCCATATCTTTCGAAATATTTGTCTGTTAAAATTAAAACAAAGAGAGAAGTGCGTATTACTGAAATGACGCCATACATTGTCTTAAGTACACGATAAAGCATTATTATATTCCAAGCAACACACAATATTTAGAAAATATTTACAAATATGTACCATATACAAGTATTTAAAAATATTTACGTATTATTGTGTCACTTCAGTAACATGCACTTCTCTTTTTATTTTAATCTTAACAAACAAATATGTTGAAAAATATGGAAGATACGGAAAACATTTTAAACAATAATAAGTGTAATAGTTTTGAGGAGGAATATTTTTCGAAATATTTGTCTGTTAAGAAATTAGGATGAATTACCCAGTATAAAAAATTACCTCACGCTGAAGACGCAGAGCGTAGAAATACTTATTTTTATCGCTCTATATTTCCATCGTGTTTACGGAACGACAGTAAACAGCGATAATGGCAGCATACACATACCTTGTCGAGGTCTATCTCATCTTGAGTATTGAGATCCGGACAATTGAAGATGTTGTTCGTATCGATGGCATTATCGCCCCTAGTCAAACCGGCGAATACCAACACCAACACGCACCACTTCATCGTTAGACCCCGAACTTAGTCAAACGCGAACCTTACAAAACCCAATTACGACAGGGCAATTAGTACAGCCACTCGCGCGCTGATCTCTCAGATCTCTCAGTCTTTTGTATCGTATGTATCGTGCCCTTCCCACGCGAATGCCCAGTTACATCTGTTTTATCTGCCGTTATCAATGTGATGTACTTTAAAGGAGATTTCTGCTCTTCACTTTCGTGCCTTTCACCATCGCCCCCTTGAGTGATATTTCAAAAAGATTCCAAATATTCTCTTTTTCTCTCACGTTGTATTTAAGTATCTTTTTATTGAAACAGCAAAACGCTTCTTCGCGATAGCATAGCGATATCGTGAACCAAATTGACCAAGTTGACTCATGCGACTCCTCTCTGTTCAGCTCTCTCTCTCTCTCTCTCTCTCTCTCTCTCTCTCTCTCTCTCTC